ATCACAATAAATGAATGAATAACTGAATCTACTATGCATTTAAAAAAAAAAAAATTAATCAGAAACAAAAAGGTTGCATAATTAAAAGTTTCACCATCTTGTATAAACATCCCCCCCATGACTCTAATAAAGATATTTATCATTTCCTCATCTAAGCATCACACATAATTTTATTTTGGATGTAGAATTTAACATGCATATGTTTTCCTTGTGCATATGATCACCAGTGATATGGATTGGCAGAATAATACACAATATTTTCTTTAATTCAATCTTAGGGAGGAGCACAGCATTTAACAAGATACCTAGCTATTTAACAACAACTGATTCTGAAATTTTTCCAATTTCCCCACAGGGAATCTTCCCAAGGAATTTGAATCGGAGCTGCTTCTAAAAGTAACAACTCTGTGACCAAGTCTGAAAACTGTGGGAGACAGACTAAGACATTACTACATTTTACCAAATGGTTTAAGCTCTTGAATTCCACTAATACGCCTTGCCTTGCATAAATGCTGGGATCAGAGTAAAGGTCAGCTTATATATAATTATCATGATTCAGCTCCCAATTCTCCCAGGAGATGGCTTGTACTGACTGCAAACAGCCCTTCAAGGTAAACTTTCTACGGTATGTGATTTGGGCTGTTTGTAGTGGCTTGGGTGTATGTTGTTGAAGTGAAATGTCCACTACCTCATGGAGCAATTTCATGTGACCACAAGATGTCAGTCAAAATCTGTAAACTAGACCAAACTCACTAGTATCTGAAAAAAGCATTTCGTGGATGTGTAAGAATCTCCTCTCACTGATCTCTTTTTAAAAACATAAACCTTAGAGTTAAATCCAGTCACATCTTATTAATGAGTATTTCAGTATTAAAAATACAGTGCTGGAAGAAGTCACCAGCATCAGCTTACAGATCATAATAATATTCTAGCGAACAGTACTAAGGAAAAAGAGTGCAGAGGTAAACATTCTGGATCTTAACACCATGTGAATGATTAAGCAATATCCCAAAATTTGCCTAGATTAATGATGATACTGTAGCATTCAGTAGTGTGCAAATTTATTAAAAACACTTCTATTTGACTAGCATAGCACAATTTTGAATTTCAGGCTGCAATAGTCATTGAAGCAAAAAAGATATTATAACATGAAAATGTTTAAAAATTCAGAAACATTACTTTTTAAAGCTTCAGCATAGTATTTTTTTTTCCTAAGGCTCTGATCCAAGTTTAATGAAGAATCCTAAATATTTTAGAAGACAATAACATCTAATTGGCTCAGTGGGACACTCATTTCACAGGCCAACACAGCTAAAGTAACCTGTTCTATCTTTTCAAATCTGCAATGTATTTTTCTTACCTGTATCAACACCACTTGGAAAAAGCTGATAATTGTTTTCAAACTGAATTTGTCTTTCTCCATATATGCAACGTGTTATATTGGTGAGAAAATCTGTGGAAAAGGAGCCATTTGTTTACAAGCTGGTTTGATTCTTAATAGTCATGCAATAGCATGACAACACTGTGATGAACTAGAAACTTTGCAGACCCAAGGACAGGCAATGCCCAGAAGTCCTCAGGAGGATCATGAAGGAGTCTCACCAAGCCTTTGAGGGGCTGCAGTTGTTTCCCAGCTTCAGAGAGGAGATCCAGAGTGGCATTTCACTTACTAAGCAGCAAAGTGCTTGTTAAATCACACACAAGCACATACATGTATGCATACAAGGGAGTGTGTGTCTGATTAGATGCCTACTGACAACCAAGTGAAGTGTTCCACAGACTTCAGAATGTTCTGAATCAGATTCTTCAATTTCTTACTAGAAAGACACAGATCTGGACTGTATGCCCATTGGCCCCATTCACTGGGAATTTTCTTTTGCCTAAATAAAAAGTGGTATTACATAAATAACAAGTTAACATTCTTGGTGTAGTAAATTTACAGAATGCAATTCAGCAATTAATTAAGGCACATTAAATGTGTGCCCAAGTAAAACAGAGTGTGCCAAACGTGGTGAAGCAGCATTCCACAAGCCTTATGGGGATTGTATCACTCCCTCTAATGATTGCAGTTCATCCAAAAAGAGAAGCAGAAGCAGCAGAAACAGCAAAGCCACAGCAATTCTGAGGAAGTCACAATAGGACTAGCCTACTATGCTTGAAAGGATCTGTGTGAGGACCTTCCTATTTTTGTAGTACATTTATTAAGCAATTTATGGAAGTACTCAATAGCCCGTAATTGCTTTGTGACCTTTTATCTTCTATATATGATCTTTGTCATTGCTATTCATTAAGGTACTATAAGTACTGCATTTCATGTTCTCTGTTACAAGCCCTCTTCTAATTAGTATGCTGCTTTTTCAGAATTTTTATGTAAGTATTATATCTGACTCATTACTGTAATTTTCAACATATGATCATTCCAATCTGACTTACATTATAGTTTTTCACCATATACAGTAGCATGTCTTCAGACTCTTAATGTATATTAAACTTTAACATCAGCTAAGTTTGATTAATGCCTTGCTCTACACCAGTGTTTCTCAACCTTGGGAACTTTAAGCTGTGTGGACTTCAACT